TCTTGAATAAGTTTGAACGGCGTTTTAGTGTCCAATTTGGGTCTCCCATTCATTTCTATCACGTTTCATTAATTCGACGCGACCTAGCTTCTTATAATTATTGATCTCGTCGATTACAAACGTTGGTGGAGACAGGCCATTCAAGAGAGTCGATGCTTTTATCACAAATAAGTTTTCCAGGGATACTGATGAGCATTTCTCTGGGTAGAAAATTTGTGGTCAGCATCTAGCAGAGTGATGGTGGCTAAAGTCTTGGACACGTGTAAAGCGTTTGGCGATGTGTTCTGGGTTGTTGTGTAATAGTAGAGCGTAAACCATTCCCACTGTAAAGTAAGTATTCACGTCTCTTTTTCGGTGTGAGCCAGCCTAACTCGAGACCATAAGGTGTGATGTCGACACCGTATGGTATGTGGCCCACAACAAAGCGCACACAGGTATTAAAAAGGCGCTGAAGACGTAGCTCTTTCGTGTTGTTGAGACCATAATAGACCGCAGAGGCATAATTCAGATGTATTTCTGTTGTAATGAGGTTTATATGTGCGGTCCAGGAAAGATCGTATGATAGCCATACGCCCAGGGTCCGCAGAACTTTCTCGAATTCAATGACGTGTTCCATCACTACCGCAGCAGGGAGATGGGCTCGGTCTAAGCGGGAGACGAAGGTATGGCTGCCCATGACCATTGCTTTTATTTTTGGTGGATTGAAGCAAAGGCCATTCCGTTCTGCCCAGTCAGCCATTGATTCTATGTCAGAGTTAGTTTTTGCTATTACCTCGGAGATACGTCCACGTGGTGCTAAACAGTAGATTTGAATGTCGTCAGTGAAGATCGTATATCTGCTATGTTCCAGGATTTGGGGCAGATCACGAACAAAGATCAAGAACAGTCTTGGTCCAAGAATGCTGCCCTGTGGAACTCCACATGGCACAGCAAATAAACTCAAGTGGGCCCCTTCATCGTCAATTGTAGCTTGTCTTCTATCTGACAGATATGAGTAGAACCATTGCAGGGCCTGATCGTCACATGCGATAAGTCTGAGCTTGGTCAGTAAGGTGGCGTGGTCAATCAGGTCAAACGCCTTGGTAAGATCGAAGAATACTACCACTGTACTGTATCTCCTATCTATGCTGCAATGTACATACTAGTGTGGATCGTGTAGTCTAAGCGCGTCCATGGGCGTAGTAATCTGGTCTTTCACGATCCTCTCAAGAATTTTTGACAATCAAAGAGTCCAGCAATCGGTCTTGTGTCAGTGGGGACCACCTTGCTCAACGTTTTGGCAATAAGTCGAATTATGGACGACTTCCATTCGTGTGGGAACTCTCCCTTCTCGAGAGATACGTTCATAAGTTGGCGTAGTGGGGAGATAATGTTAGACTCTAGCATTTTCATTATCCTGACGGTGACAGTATCGATTCCACTAGAACTTGAGGTCATCCTTGACAGAGCCACCTGGACGTCACGGACAGAAGCTGATTTTATCGGGAATACACTATGCTTATCTGCTGGCAAAGGAATACTGCAGACTCTCACAAGGTCGTTCGAGGATAGTGGCGTCCGACCCATAGTAACGGAAGCGTATTATGCGTTGAGAATCTCCTTATCGGTAAACGCGATGGGTGAGTCTGGGGCTCGCTTTGACACGCACATACCCCGCAATGTTCGCTATAGCTCGCGTGAGGACAATAGCATTTCACACAGTCGATCAAAAAAAAACGAAAATGATGAAAGTCTGTGTCGAGGCCAGATTGGCGGAAGGTCCTATAGGCTCGGTCTCTTTGCTCAATGAGCACTCGAAAGCTCTCCTTATGCGGAGAAGAGATCTTGACGCGATGTCCGGGGGCTAACTTATCGAAGGTGTAGAGGAGTGTGCTAGTGAGAGACTCAGCAGTCATATTCACGCAGCCCAGGGATGCTGAGCCAGTAGGTGGGGCAACTCGCTGTTCAAATTCTGTAAGCAATTTATCTTTGTTCACTCGGGACAGACGGCGCGTGAAAACAGATTTTTTGAGTAATTTGGACGCTAGAATGGTAAGCGTGACCTCCGTCCAGACGTGTCCAGCAGCAAATGGAACCCCTGACCTTTTGTATTGTAGTAGATAATCTGGATCATTGATTATATAGAGGTCGATTCAAGTATGACTCTGGCCCGTTATGTTCAACGTACAAATTTCCTTTCCTGTTCGATACGTGGATATACGTATAGGTACACATTTACGTAGTGCCTTGAATATTCTCCACCTAGGGTATGTGTGTTGAAGCGTACATAAGACTGTATATTATAATTGGATATTTGCAACAATCATCCTATTTCTTGGTAGTGAGGGGAAACAGTAAAGCTACGTCATCATATTAGATTGTATGCAGCAGCAGTATCAGTACTTAGCAGTACTAGTAAGTTAGATACATTACGTCACTAATGCACAAAGTACAAACATAAGCGCCCAAAGGGCACGGCAGTTCTATGTTGGTACCCAAGTTGTGAATAATGTTTTACTAACCAAGGGCGCAAAGTAAAATTTTGCGCCCATCGCCCTACTTTGCGCCCAATGAGTCACTTTGGGCCCTAGTACTTTTCTGTCCGTGACCCAAAGTGATTATAGTGGTACAAAATGTGGCCAAGAGCGCAAAGCGGCAGTTGCACTTTGTGCTTATGGTAAGAAATATGTAAAAAAGCTCATGTTATTAATAAAAAAATCTCTTCCGCTGAAAGTATTTAAAACTAAAATTTTCTTAATGAATTTTTTAATTAAAAACAGAAAATCGGTATCAGTAAAAAAGTCTGTAAAGTAACATAAATCTAGCAATAGTATACAAAAAGCAATGGTATTACATACTGATGAATGTAGCTTAACTCAAAAAATTACAGTGCTTAGGAATAAAAAATAATAAAGAAAAAAGAAACAACGGCAATACCAGTATCTATTTACAATATATTTTAGAAAATAGTCAATTATATAATAAAATACTGTGTCATGGGACCCATAAAAGAAGCAAAGCTTTGATATGGTTTTAATAAAAAAAATATTTTTATTAATCGTATAATTTTTGGCAGTTGAATCTTGTTTTATTTGAAAAATATAAGATTTATTAATACTCATCAAAAATTTTATTTTTATATAAATAAATAGTATGAACTTTCGCTGTCTTGTATTATATACTTTCACTTCTTTACTTCCAGATTTTTGCGCCATTTGAGAATGTCAGGTTCACACATATTCTCGATCAGAAATTTTAACTAGGCTACCCATCTGGAAAATGCATGATAGAATTAAACGTGTAATAACTTTAAGAAAGCCATACAGCATTCCAAGTGGTTTTATACATGGCCTTACACAATGGCGTTTGGGATTGGTAATGCCACACGTAATGCCGTATACAAAAAAACATGGAGTTACTAATTAAATTAAAAAAAATTGTTAACCAGAAGTAATTGCAGAATACTCTTATCTACTACAGATTAAAGTTTCAAAAATTTTTTTTATTATTTACATAAGCAGGGCAACGTTCTCAAGGACGTTGCATAGCTAATGTATTTTTTAGTAGATAACTACTGTACTGATACCTTGAAACAAATAGACAATCATAGCAAAATACTAACCTAAAAAGTAGTTTTTAAAGGAATTTTAATCACTTATTGTTTGAATTCGTAAAAAAGTATTATAACAAGGGTTGAAACTTTGCACGATTACTCCATTAATAGTTTTTTATCAGTTCAGTAAGTTTTGTTAACATGTTATCTACGATAGTTGTTAATGCAGATTTCGTAGCCATTCCGTAAGAGCCCATGTTAAACATCATTTGTTATTGTGTTATTTTTCCACATTTGTATTATAATAAATTCCAAAAAAATATTAATTGATTCAGAAAAGTGTGAATATGACTATTCTTAATATTCGTTAGGTTCTGTTATCATTTCATTTCAGTATGCAACGTCCTAAGCTAGCAAATAAATGCATAAGTTCATCGTGATTTAAAAATTACAAGAGTCAATAAGGATAAACACAGTGTTTTTAATGTATATATTTTTCAAGATGATCAAAGTTCTATCTATCTATGATATATTAAATCATTTAATATGTATAATAAATAGCTATTTTATTTTAATTTTAACAGATTCTGAAAAATCTAAGGTAAAATTATTGTGTAATAACTATCTACATAGGTATTTACAATAACTATACATGTACGTAGATACGCTAGGATCTCTATGTAGGGCCGAGCTATTCCCTCGTAATATCATGCCACCATACAACACAACGCATTAGTCACACGAAGACCAGTGTATGCTAGCTGAGATGCTTACGTAGAAAAGTTTCGATTGGGATTTTTCAACATTTTGATGGAAAATTGCTCAAATGTTTTGTCTAAGAGCTTCTTATCGAATAAAAAATTCTTGTCTGTTACAAATTCTCCGAAGGTACCAGTTCTTGAAAGTACTAGTTGACTCCAGCTTAAAAGATTACTGCATGGTTATAACTTCTTAAAAACAAATATCGTTAACAGTATATAATGAAAAAGTTCAAATTTCATGGTAACGAGATATGACTTAATTAAACGTCTACCTCACACTTAATCTTAATGCAATGTAAAGAAAAAATAATATAAGAACAATCGTAAACATGTAAAAATAATCCTAATCTCACCACAGCCACTTTTTTTATTAAATTTTTTCAAATATTTGTATTTTTATAGAATTTGTTAAATCATGACGGAAAATTAGAAAAATTGTTCTATAAATACGCAATTTTTCATTACATATCAAAATCTGCAAGTTTGTAACCAACTAAAGCTTCTCCAGAACAGTGTTATTGAGAATCAAAGAAAACAAAATCATTTTTTCTTACAATAAAATTCCTCGTAAGACTATGTATTGTATTAAGATAAAAAATAGATAAAATCCATAAATTTTTACAAATCTGGTAAAATAATAATAAAACATATAATAAAAACATAGTAAATTAAAAAAAAATTATTTTCGACACATTTTTCAATTATAGGAGGAAGATGAAAATCACCAGGAAGCCCTTAACATGATGTGGCCAACTTCATCTCAGAAGAGAATAACTTACGTTCTTGTAGCACCAATTCTGTTTCCGTTGTGGCTCACACTACCGGACACTCGAACACCAAAAGGTACTAAAACAAACTTTTCCAGCTTAAATCTTTTGGAAACAATTTAAAAAATGTATTACAAGAAGAAACGAGACTCCTTACATATTTACCATTTCAACTAGAAGATAATAGTTATTAAGTAGTAAATAACCTTTCTAACTTTTAATTCAGATAAATATAAATTGTAGTAGGACAGAAAAATATAGAACATTTATAATAACGTCAAAAAATTAAATAAAGGTCAAATTTATAATAAAAAAAAAAAGACATGAAATAAACAAAAGTCTGTTGAAACAAAAAAAATACGAAATTTTAATTTTAAGACAAACCGCTTTACATTTAAGAATAATAGGTAAAACTTACGAAACTAGTTCAGCCTTGACATTAAAAAATATTCTATTGTAATTAGTAAGCATCCTCAAATATAAATTTAAGTGACAAGTTCATAAAAACAACTATTTTATTTTTTATCATGAAAATAATCTAAAACTAACACGGAAAATTGTTAAAATAGGAAAAAAAAACGGAAGAGTATTAAACTAGCCTCAACAGTGTTATCAAAATAAAAAAAAATTTATAATCAAGACTCCAATCAACAGCAACATTATCATGAATGTAACCATGATTATCATCATCATCATCATCATCGATATCATCATCATCATTATCATCATCAATATCATTATCTTCATCGTCATTATCACCATAATAACTAACATTATTATTATCATCGTCATCATCTACATCGTCATTATCGTCATCGTGATTATCGTCATCATTATCATTATAAACATCATCATAATCGTTACCATATTCATTATCGTTACCGTTATAATCATCATCATCATCATCATCATCATCATCATCATCATCATCATCATCATCATCATTATCATCATCATCATCATCATCATCATCATCATTATCATTATTATCGTCATTATTATCATTATCATTATTGCTATCATTATAAACATCATCATAACCGTCATCATAATAATTATTTTTATCATTATTACCATCATTTTTATCATCATCATCGTCATCAACATAATCATTTTCATCCTCGATATCATCATTAATATTATCATAAACAAAATTATTGTCATCATCTTCAATAACATGATTATTATTATTATCATCATTATTATCATTGACATGATCATTACCAATATTATTTTCATAAGCATTATCAACGTTTTTATCACGATCATAATCATTACCATCATCAACATCATAGCAATCATCATCATGATCATGATCATCATTATAATTATCATAATAATTATAATTATGGTCATCATCCATACAGATATTCATATCATCTTTGTCATAATTATAATTATAATTAAAAATATTATTTTCAGCATCATCATCATCGTCATTATCATCATAATTATTAATATCATCATAAACATCCTTATAATCATCATCATCATTGTTATTATTATGATTATTATCATTATAAACATCATCGTAATTGTCATCATAATCATTATCGTTATCATTATTACAATTAACATCCTTATCATCATCGTAATTGTCATGAACGTAATTATCTGTTTCATAATTATTATTATCATCATCAATATTATCACTATTAACATGATTTTCATTATCTTTGTCAACATAATAATTATAATTATCATAATCATCATTATTAACATAACCATTACCATTATTACTATCATAATTATCATCATCGTTGTTATCACGATCGACATTATTACCAACATTAATTACATATTATTAACATTACATTACGATTCAACATTATTAACATCATAGTCATTATTATCATTATTATCAATATATTATCATCATGATCATAATTATCATCACGATCATCATCATCATCATCATCATCATCATCATTATCATTAACATCATCATGATTAATATAATCATAATTATAATCATTATTATCTTTGTCATCAGGATAATCATTATCATCGTCATCATCATTGTCTTCGTTCTAAATATGATCTTGATTATTAAAAACATCAATACTCGTCACCGGAACCACTATTATTGTCTTTACTATTATCCATATCATCATAATTATCATCGATATTATTTATAATAACATTGTTATTAACATTTTTGTCGACAAAGTTATCATTTTTATCATCAATATTAAAATAACCATAAATATCGTTACTATCATAATCATCATCATCGTTACTATCAAAATTATCATTGTAACCATAATTAACGTCATTGTTATTATTATCATCATCATCAGCATCATCATTATCATCATCATCATCATTATCTTCTTCATCATCATCATTATCATCATTATCATTATCATCATCACCAACATTATTAACATAATAATTATTATCACTTTTACTAAAATCGTTATTACCTTTTTTTTCTCTTAGTCATCATCATACTCATAATTATAATCACAATCATCATAATCTTCATTATTGTTGTTTTTATTATTCTTATCATTAGCATAATCATCATTGTCCTATTATTTTTAATGTAATTACCGTTATAACTATAATTTTCATCATCATTAATAACAGTATTAGTAAAATCATAATTAGAATTATCTTTATGATAGTTATTATTATTATCATTACCAGCATCACTGTTATCATTAGCTCTATTAACATCTTTATCATCTTAATCACTATTATCAACATCATCATGGTTATTATTATCATCAGAATTATAATTATATCATTATTACTATTATTATTATAATCATCAATATGAAAATTATATTTATTATTACTGTGACAACCATCATTATTTTTTCTATTTACAACTTAATAATCATTATAGTTGTCATCGTCATTACCACAATTGTTATTACAATTATCATTATTTTTATTATTTTTATCATTAGCATTATCATTATTTTTAATATTATCATTATGATCCTCACCCTTATGACAATCATTATAACAATCATAACCATACTTGATATAGTTAATAATAATATTAGCATCATCAGAATTGTTATTATTTATATTAGTATTATTATTATTATTATCATCGTCATTATGATTATCGTCATAATTATTATTATCATCATCAATTTCATTTTCGTCATCATCATCATCATCATTATCATCATCATCATCTTCTTCATTATCAACATAATCATTATCATCGTCGTCATCATCATGAACCAAATAATAACTATTATCAATGTCATCATCATCATGATAATTATCGTCATTATTGATAAAAACATTATTATCAGTATTATTATTATAAGCATTATCATTATCAACATGATTCCTATCATCACCATCATTATAATTAAAAACATTATCATTTTCATTATTATCATCATCCTTGATGTTATGATCATTATTATCATAATTTCTATTATGATTATCCTCATCATTATTATCGTTGTTATCATTATCATTTTCATCATTCTCATTGTTTTTATTTTTACTATCAGCATCATTATTCTTTACATTATCTTCATTATCAATTTTGTCATTATCTTGTTTACTATTATAATCATAATAATCATGATCATCATCATCATCATCATCATTGCCATTATCGTAATCGTCATTATCGTTATCATTACTATAATAAACATCATTATATTCATTCTCATATGCATTCTCATTACTATTATAATCATTATAGAAATTATCATTACCAACATCTTTATTGTTATTATCATCATCATTATCATTAAAATTATCATTATATTTATGGTCAATATCATTTTTACTATCATTATTATCAATATTATCATTATCATTATCATCATTATCGTCATCTTCTTCATTATCATTATAATCATTATCATCGTCGTCATCATTATAAAGCAAATAATAATTATTATTAATGTCATCATCATCATGATTATTATCGTCATTATCGATAACAACATTATCATCAGTATTGTTATTATCATAAGCATTATCATCATCACCATGAATAATATTATCACCACATTATAATCAACAACATTATCATTTTGATTATTATCATCATCATTAAAATTATGATCATTATTATCATAATTTCTACTATCATCATGCTCATCGTTATTATCGTTATTATCAGTATTATCATCACCATTCTTATTGTTTTCATTCTTATTACCACTATCAGCATCATTATTCTTATTATTATCTTCATTATTATTTAAGTCATTATCTTAATCACTATCATCATCATAATAATCATGATCATCATTATTATCATCATCATCTTCATGGCCATTATCACCATAATCATTAATATCATTGTCATTATCACCATAATTATCATTGCCATTATCGTCATCGTCATTATCGTCATCATTACTATAATAAACATCATCATACTCATTCTTATATGCATTTTCATTACTATTATAATAATTATAATTATCATCTTGACCAACATCTTCACTGTCATTATCATCATCATCATTAGTATGATTATTATCATACTCATAGTCATTATCATTTTTACTATTATTATTATTAATATTATCATCATCATCATCATCATCATTAATATTATTATTCTCATCATTATTGTCATTATCATCATAGTTATGATTATTATTATTATTATTATTAACATCATCATCATTATTATTATTTGTATGATCATCATCATCGTCGTCAACGTCATTATCATTACCACAATCATTATCAACATCATCACAATCAAGGTCAACTTTACTATCATTATCATTATTATTATTATAATCATCATCATTACTATCATCGTTATGAACATAATCATCTTTATCACCATCATTATCATCATTAATATTATGATTATGAACATTATTCTCGTCATCTTAGGAAACATACTTATTAATATTATTATCAGAATCATTAAAATTAAAAATTAACATTATCATTTTTCGAATCATAATTAATATCATCCTAAACATCATCATTCAAATCTTAAATATCATAGTCATCATCATAATCATCATTATCCTCATCACCATTATCATCATCATCAACATTATCATGACAATCATTATTAAGATTAAAATTATTGTTGTTATCATTACAAACAATATGATAACC